AGTTAAAAAAAATCTGAACAGCTTTCCAAAATAAATAAAGAGTAATACGAAAGATTTTTAAATAGTTTAGTTAAGAATTTAGAATTCTAAAAAAATATAGAAGTTAGAGATGTTTAAAAAAATCGCAGTCAGTTATCGACAGCAGTCGAGCGTATCACGAGGATCCTATTTCGTTCGGTCCATTTCGCGCGGATATTTCTCGTGTCATCTTCCGTAGGAATTTTATCTTCGGTAGAGAGAAGTTTCTCGTAGAGAGAAGTTATTATCTCTGCTGGTCGAGCGTGTAAATGATACTGGCCCAATGCGCGTTCCCCGTCGATCGTCGATAATTTCGGGCGTCGCGTCGTCCGTATACCTGACATTGGATTGATTTGAACGAGTATCTACCGCGCGTAATGAATAAGCTCATCGCTCGCGCTTCTCCTCTCTCGTCGCCTCGTCACTCGTTTGTAATTCATTGTGTTGTGCTGGCCCGGACTCGTTCAACACGCCACGTTGAATCGGACCCAACGGCGAAGTCGTAAAGTTCGCGATAGTACGAAACGCGCGCCAGTCGCACGGTACCCATTGTGCTCGCTCGAATCCCCTCATAGGATCCCGTTACATAATCATTTTTTTTTTAATTTTTTCCACAACGGTGCGCACATAACGCTTATCGTCACGGTAGTGCCCCAGCACGCGTCGAACACAATCCGGCGGCATATTATCCAGCTGTGAGTCGATATTTTTACGCTATTTCTATCTGTCCGCGCCCATCATGTCCACACCTTCAGCTCGATATGTTTATGATTCCATAGATCTGTAATTTGTATTAATCACCATTATAAAATTGCTCTGTTATTACGAGAATGATGTAAGTGGTTAGATGATTTAAATTTTTTTCGTCAAACAAAAGAGCGATCGTATCCTTGCAAGATACGATCTATGTTACTTTTGAGCGACGCGACATGATGATAATAATAATAATCGGAGGAAGTCAATCGAAGTGATCACGTGAATTTGTTTTGGCGTAAATCCAGGTAAAATACATTTCGCAAATTTATTTCAATTAGCTTTATATAAATTCTGGACTTACGCGCTGCTTTCAAACTGATCGATTCGATGAAGCATTTGATTTAATTTGTATGATAACCTGGGGTTTAGATTTTAATCTAGATTAATCTATGATATTGTTGATAAGCCGATACATGTGATACCTTTATTATTATTACGTAGTGCGTATAATCTCACATTAATTTATACATTTACTTGCACATTTTACTTGCAGTATGGACATTTGTTATGAATATTGTAAGCCATCCGAAATTTTTATGAGTTGGTGTATTAAGATGACAATTAGAAGCTTATTTCAATGTTGTTAAGATAATCGATCGTAATTTAATAAATAATACATATTAATCGTTATTTCATATAATTAACCTGGATGAGTAATATTAACGATTAATTAGAGGACAAGTATTTATTGTTCAAGAAGTTCCATTTTTTGTGTCGCAAGAAGAATGTTTATTACTTTTTTTTTCATAAAATTCGAATAATTACATTATAATTTATATCTATTAAATGTTTTCTTTTTCCTTATGTTTTCATACACAGTTTGTGCATTAGACTGTCATCAGTTTGTGGATTAGATATCATGTCACAAGATAATCACATGCTACATTGTTTTCGCTAGTTATTTGTTGTTTACTTTGATTATTATCGTATCATTTAATCGACATGCGCTCTTTTTTTCAAATAACTTTTGTCGGATACGATCTTGCGAACCGTAATCTCACGTACTTATTAACCATTACATGTACGTGAAGTATTTGTTGCCTCGAGTTTATTAGGGTTACAACCTAATCAGCAATCATAAGTGGTTATTCTTCCTCTCCCTTTCTTTCTAGTTGATTCTTCGTGCTTTCCTTTTACTGTAAATTTTCTTTATCTTTAGACAATTTTTATTCACGAAATATAGTCAACTTTTGTTCCCCCCCCCCCGACTGTCTTCTTCCTTTCTCTTTTTTTTTTATAACAATGAGCGGAGATGAATGTTAAAATTAACAATTTATCTACTTTCGCCATGCCATTGTAAAACTCGGATATTCATACAATTCATTTCACAGGAAACCAACGCCCGTCTGCCATTAATTCATCGCAGTTTTACCTATTTATCGCATTTTCGCACGCAACGTATTGTATTCTATAATTATCTCTTAACCTCATTTGATGTTAAAGGCATTAAATGTTATAAGTACTCTTTATATATATTTTTCATTTAATTAAGGAGATTAGACTTCAATTTATTTCATAAAAATTGACTTTCGCAATACATTAATTCATGATCAGTTAAGATAAATCGTCTTCGCTATAAAGTTAAATTAAATAATGCCAATAGAAAAAAAGAATTCTTAATATTTTAGAGAGAGTTTGCATTTTCTCTTAATAAACGTAACAAGCTTAATAAAGCTTTTTATTAACATCAATCATGAAAAGTGTCTAGTGTCAGAGGAAAATGTTGTTAAGTCTATCTCTTCTTTTACGTTTTAATATCAATTGATGTAACAATTGAAACTAATTTGCAATAAATAAATATTAATTTGTAAAATAAATATTAAACAGGATGAAATATGTGAAAGAGTTCTTAATGTCCACTCTTGTGAGCACATCTGCATGTGTAAACGAAACAAGCCACTTAGCCAATTACAGACTCTCGTGCGACCAAGTAATAAGAGAAGAACTTGCGACAGGCAACATTAAATTCAGCAATCTTCTAAACAAATATTTTGCTGAACTACGCCCACGTAAAATGTTCTCATGATATTGTCTTCTTTTAAAAAGAAAACAATATAATTATATAATAACAATTTAATGTGGTTCGTTTAAATTGATCATTTCTTAAACTGATGTCTTGTGGCGTTGAAATACAACAAGGATGAATCTATCGGTACAGAAATTATAGCATGCAACAAGTATTTTCTGTGTGAAAATGCTGGTTAAAGTAATTAGACATTATACAATGGCGTCTACCAGTATTTTGACGTCATCGAAAATTAGCCGTATGAGTAATAGTGAACTGATAAGGAAATTCCTTAGATAAATGTTAATTTTTGGTTAAATTAGTCGTATGAGTAATGGTGAACTGATAAGAAAATTGATTAAAATTGCTTAGATAAATGTTAATTTTTGGTTAAACTATAGTTTTACTGATGCTGTATCATAAAGATAGCTTTAAAGAAGACATGGATAAATGTAAAAAAATGTTATAGGCCGATATTCATAATTGGTTCTTATATTTAAGATTTTAAGTACAGTCTTAAGATATCATAAACCAATTAGAGTCATAGCATGTTAAGACATTACTTGAGACGGTCTTAAAATAAACGAACTATGAATACTACTTTAAGTACGTAAATTGATGTGAATTATTTTTTCTAATTTTTCTTCTTTTATGATTTCTCATCTATTATGAAGACTTATATTGTTATGAGAAGAGGATACTGTTTCCGACTGTGTCTGACAAACGTCATTTGAGATGCATGATTTCTGCGAACGCATCTTCGATTTCTACGAATTTCCTGAAACTCTATAATGTGTCTCGAATCGTTTGTTATTTAAGAGTTTGGCTTCCTCCTTCTCAAATTCGATATACGCATCGTTTATACAATATCAGTTCTTGGATAGCATTTGAGAGCAAGAGTGTAACACATCAGCGTTATTTTTTTTTATCCAGTGGGACGCGATAAAGCGAGAATTTAACCCGACGAGGGTGTGCCGACACGAGTGTAACACTTTTATTCAGCGTACATATTTATGGAGCGTCTCGCTTATCTGGCACTCCTGTTTACCCTTGCGTGTCTGCCTACTACGTGAAAATAGCGCCGTAAAACATTTTACTTGAACTTTCGGCAACCGAATTTAACGTCAGGTATAACGAGTTTAAAATACGCCTGTGCATTTCCCGTATTATATTTTTCACGCGAAATTTATGTTTGCCGGTAGATAAAACTCGTACATGTACGTTGCATTTGATAGTAACTTCGCAAACATCACTCCTTTAAAAAGACCTTCGATTTTCCAAGGTCGAGTTTAGAAAACGAACTATTTGCAAATCAAATATTGACGGTTTCCCCGTCGACAAGGAAAGTCTTTTATCGCGGTTTTCAGTATTTCCGTGTTTTTTTCTCGTGGTCTTTCTTCATTCACAGTCGCTTTTTGGGTTTCGTTCGTCTCTCATAGAATAGCTACTTTAGAAAAGCTACTGAAGAAAAGAAGTAAATGATCTATTTGGAAATTTACTTTGTGCATTTCGTCTTGCTTTGTCTTTCAAATGTAATTTCTATTAAATACATAGCAGAATTTTCTGCCATTTATATTGATTTGTTTATCTAGTGGATCTAAAGGCTCTATTTTTTTTACTCACTTTATTAAGATCTTACAAATATATTAATTATCAAATATTTAAAATACGTGAATATTTCATTATACCGACATAGTGATTTTTATTTTTTCTTTCGCATTTTTTGTCTTATATGACACATTTATTGATCGATATATATTAACGATAATAATTAACGTGTATCGTGCTAACAAGACGCAATTACGATTGTTTTATTTAATATTAATGATTGTTTGATGGTTTTCGGAAATAATTAAAAATTTGAGAGCATTTCACTTCCTTTTACGTATTTAATGTATCTCTTTTACTTACACATTTTGTTCTACATTTTTTTCAAAAATAACTAACAAGAAAAAATTTCATCCCATTTGATAAATTAACTATATTATTTACATTAAACGGAAATATAATAGCTTTTTAAATTTATTTGAACAAGATATACGAGATACACGTTTAATAATTTTCAGAAAATTTAATAAAAATTATGACTTTATATAAACAATTATCTTTATTAACAAAATAAAGTATTTCAAAATAGTCGTTTTGCGTCATACCTTCGTTATTTTCTGTTATATTTGATGCAAGTTGCAATTTATAAAAAATATTATCTCTTTCGTTGCAGGGTAAGGATTAAATTGCTTTGAAGATGGGGGCGATGTTCAGAAGCGAGGAGATGGCCCTTTGCCAGCTGTTCATTCAGCCGGAGGCAGCTTACCTTTCTGTTTCAGAACTTGGAGAAACTGGTACGGTGCAATTTCGCGACGTAAGTTGAAAATTAAGTGTAATCTCCATTGATTACTTTAGTTAACTTAATAGGTCTGATTAGTTTGTTACTCATCATTTACAAATGATGATTTGAATATGTTAGCTGATGCGTTTGAAGTTATTTAAAAATTATTTTTTTGTAAAAATGAGAAACTCATTTTCTATTATTATTTTATAATAATTATTAGAAAGAAAGAGAGAAGAGAAAGTATTCTTCTATTAATTAACAAAAGTAGTCCGTAGATTAAAGAAATATTTAATTAAAATATTATTGGAATTCTATAATATTATAACATATATAATTAAACTTCTAATAATAATAGATAAATTGAAGTAAATAATAAAATTAATTAAATATAGAATATCATTTTAATTCTTTAACGGCGAGATTTTTTATTACAGTTTACCTAAAACTTTATGAATTTCATATAAAAATGGTACAAACATTTTAACTTTGTTATTCTTTAATATAAATTTTACATCAAATTAAAATGTTTCAATAGATATTATGAAGTATATAAATGTAAGTATATAAAGCTTATTTGAGGTACAAAATCTTTTAATGCATTTTCATTGCAGATGCATTAATGCAGATGATTGAAAATTAATGAATGCATAAGTTATGTGAGAAAGAGTAAATTTTTGGTGCGTTTGTTTAAATTGTCTTTGAACAGTTCATCGATACGATTTTTTCTGATTACAGCGGAAATTAATCACGTTTATTTTGACGTAATATATAGCTCAACGGCGACTTGAATTATTTTCAACGGAAGTTCGTCAATGAAGTCCGACGATGCGACGAACTGGAGCGCAAACTTCGGTACATCGAGGCAGAGGTCAAGAAAGATGGTGTGCCGATCCCGGATAATCTTACGGAACTACCACGCGCGCCTAACCCACGTGCAATTATAGATCTCGAGGTAAAAATCTCCTGCAAAATGTTTTGAAAACTTATTTCAACGTATTTACCGCTCGTAAAATAAATTTGAATAAAATAGATCAGATCTAATCCCTTGTTTTTGATCAATATAATTTAATGACATGTTCATAAAATATGATATATTCAATAGGAATGTTTCACATTTTATTCTTTGATAGAAAAAATATTTTTGTTAAATAGTTACTAAAATAAAAAATGAATTTTTTTTGTTTTGGTTCATAACAAGCGTAAATATGCCTTGTGTATATCTATGCAAAAAGAATCAGTTATACAATAAATGTTTACGTTAAAATGTAGTTTTATAATATCTTTAAAAAATGATAAATGAGAAGAGAGATATTCCAAATTAAAAACTTGCTGTTAATTAATTGCTATTATATACAAAAAATATTATTTTTAATAATTTTGGTATTTTTAAATTGCGCATCATACGTTCGCTATATGTCAATTGCATTACCTCCCTCAATAGGCGCATCTCGAGAAAACGGAGAACGACATACAAGAGCTGAGCCAGAACGCGGTGAATCTGAAGAGCAACTATCTCGAGCTGACGGAATTACAACACGTACTCGAGAAGACACAAGCGTTCTTCACGGAGGTACCTAAAGTACTCGTAGTTCAGCAGCTTTTGCTCATAGCGCCGTCCTCCTTCGTGTAATCGATGTTACCGTTTTGTCGAAGAATCAAGATTCGTTTCTTCTTCTTCTATATCAACAGGAAGAAGCCAACGACTCGATCACCAAGGCGCTCATCAACGAGGAAGCACCGAATCCCGCCATTTCGATTCGCGGACGTCTGGAGTAAGTTATAGTTATGATGAAATTGTTCAGACAAGATCTTTTCTCGTGTGTGTTAATATAACATTAATATATTAAATGTGTATTAATATATTAAATGTGTGACATTTAATAATATTAAAAGAACATCTTTGTACACGTGTAAGCGTTTTTATGACGGCTTTGCTGCTTTTATCTTGACGAGTTTTTAATCCAATAATGGGATTTGCCTATAAATAATAAACTTTTGCTATATTACTCATAATTTATCTAAAGAAATAATTTTAATTAGTTTAATTAGTTTTTATTAGTTTAATTATTAGTTGTGTAATTAATCTGTTGTGATTACATAAATTCGATTAATAATATTTAATGGATAATAATTTTTATTGGATCATTTTTTTAATAATTTTTGATCGTGATGAAAATGAAAGATTATTAAGAAAGTTTTTTAAACAAAAGAATTATCTTTGATTCATTGCTTTATGTGTGTAATTTTTATATATAATTTTAGATATTATTTTATTATATTTCTAAGATTATAAAAAAATTTAGAGATAAAAGTTTCAGACACAATTTCTTTTCGAACAATTTTATATAATTTGTTTTCTAATAAATTTGATATAAGAATTCTTATAGCGTTGCGACTAGAGATGTAAAATTACTGTCAAATTCAATTTTATAATTACTTACGGTAAAATTACGGTAAAATGGTAATTTAATGATAATTTTGATAAAATTTGTTGTTTCTTATAGTTTTATGCACAAATAGACTGTATTTTCGTACTATATATTGTATAAAATTATACAATTATTCAATATTTCTAATAGGAACCGCTGATAGAATAACAGGGCTATTGATTAAATCTAAACGTACCCTATTGAAAACAATTACGTCACAAAGTTACATAACAAAATCATGTAATTAAAACATGTAAATCACGCAATGAATTCTTCCAAATCAGTACGTGATTTTTTGAAATCATGTAATTTGAAAAGTTACACGATGATATATTTTTTTTCTTCTATTTTTATCATTTAATTTTATAAGTTTATAAGGTATGAAAAATATAGTTTAAGACTACTGTACTTGTCACATTTTTTGTTTTCAAAATTTTAATAATTTATTTAAAGTTTCTCTAGTTACTACGTATCTATATAGTTTCTTAATTATTATATCAATAAGTAGTATCAAAATAAAAATTTAAATTAAATAAAGTGTTTTTAAACTTTTTAACTTAATGACTAAATGTACTCTTATATCAAATTACTTTATTTTTATAATTTTTTTAAATTACCATTTTACCAGCCTCCATAAATTACTGACTAATTTATGGTAAATTACCGAGTAAATTATCGTAAAATTTGGTCATTTTCATCTCTAGCTGCGACAGACAAAAGACACTACCATATTTAGTATACGTTCATCTACAATACTGACACAATAATATATCGCTTAATAAATCATGATGCTATAACGATATCTGATTTTTTGCAGATTCGTCGGCGGGGTAATAAATCGCGAACGAGTTCCAGCCTTTGAGAGAATGCTGTGGCGTATATCACGTGGAAACGTTTTCCTTCGACAAACCGAACTTGATAAACCGTTGGAAGACCCAGCTACGGTTAGCTCTGATTCTTCTTTTATCTTAATGCAGAGAAATTATTTAATTTATTGTATTTGCTAATCTCTGTCAGTTATCTCATACGCGTGAAACAAATAGGACGCATAAATATCAAAATGGAATTAACGATCCTCGAAAGATTAATTTGATTTTGCTTTAAAAAACGTTGCAAAATGAAAAAGCTGCACGTTCATCGATGCGCCTGATTCCCTTTTTTCGCGAATGTTTTCAGGGCAACGAAATCTATAAAACAGCTTTCGTGGCATTTTTTCAAGGAGAACAATTGAAGACCCGTATTAAAAAGGTTTGCACTGGCTTCCACGCCTCGCTTTATCCATGCCCGACTAGCCATGCAGAACGTCAGGAAATGCTAAAAGGTGTGCGAACACGATTAGAGGACCTTAAATTGGTGAGAATTGTTGTGTCAAAATTAAAAATGTTAATATTTAAATAATACTTAATGCAAATGTGTGCGTTTTATAAATATACTTAATAGATATATTCTTAAATATCACAATTTTATTATTGATATTAATTATTACAATTAATTTTAATTAAATTAAAGAAATATTTTAATTTTTGAATATTTAATCGAGGCAATACGAAAATTTCTTATTTGAACAACTTTTCTGCTAAGGTACTAAATCAAACGCAAGATCATCGCCAGCGTGTTCTGTATAACGTAGCGAAAGAAATACCAAACTGGAGTATCATGGTGCGAAAGATGAAAGCTATTTATCACACAATGAATCTGTTCAACATGGACGTGTCGAAAAAATGTCTCATCGGAGAATGCTGGGTGCCCATTGCCGATCTCGGGACCGTACAAAATTGTCTCACGGAAGGATCGGTTAGTGTATATTATATGTATAAGTTTAATTTGATTATGTATATATAAGTTTTCTATTACCTGACAAATAAAGTTTTTTCTATTATGCATGGAAAAAATTATATTTCTGTTTAACACAATATTGCTTCTAGTCAATTACTTAATCGTCTTTTTATTTTTAAAATATATAAGACAATAAAAAATATTCACATTCTGCGTTATAAGTTTAATTTGATTATGTGTATATATATATATATATATACAGAAACTTTATTTGTAATAGAAAATTTCATAAGATTAGATATTATACTTGAATCAATATTTATAAGTAAATTGAATTTCCGAGTAGCTGCACAATATAGAAACAACTTTAAACCGTATTTTGTCGAGTAATTTACAATTCGTTGCGAAGCAGAAAATTTTTGTATTATTAATCAACTTGGAAGACTGATAACAGCAGATAACTCGAAACATAAGATTAAATTATTGAACGAAGAAATATGGGATTTTTTAGCGGCAATGTGGAAGCTCTATACCGTCTTTCCTCAACGTGATCCACACGGATGAAAATCCTCCGACGTTCAATAGAACGAATAAGTTTACAAGAGGTTTTCAAAATTTAATTGACTCCTACGGTGTGGCATCGTATCGTGAAGCTAATCCAGCACTTTACACTATCATTACGTTTCCCTTTTTATTTGCCGTTATGTTTGGCGACGCTGGTCATGGTAAGTAGTAAATCCAAGCAAGCAAAACAGTAAACAAATATATACATATTTTGTTAAGTAATCCTTATGGGTGCGTGACTTGTGCTAGGATTCATATTGACGCTTTTTGGTTTGGCCATGGTGTTAATGGAGAAAAAGATCAGCGCGCAAAAGTCGGACAACGAAATCGGGAATTTATTTTTCGGCGGTCGTTACATCATCCTTCTCATGGGTTTGTTTTCCATCTACAGTGGTTTTATCTACAACGACATATTCGCAAAGTCAGTTAACATATTCGGATCTAGTTGGAGGATCAAATATACGCTCAACGATACATTACATAACAAGGAGTTAGATCTGTCACCAAATGCGAATGAGAGCTACTTGCAGTATCCCTATCCTCTGGGTATGGATCCGATTTGGGCTCTTGCTGAAAATAAAATTGTATTTCACAATTCGTTCAAGATGAAAGTATCGATTATTTTTGGCGTCGCGCACATGATCTTCGGCGTCTGTATGAACGTCGTCAATATGATGTAAGTATTGTAATTTGGACGGAAGAAGTTAAGAGTCGCGATTATCAAAGTACTATTGTTAGAAGAAGAAAGATGTACCGTTGTAGATACGTTATCAATACATATTTTATTATTAAGCAGCGTTAAAATATATTCGTAGCATAATTTTTTTTAAGATTACGAAATTGTAAGCAATATTTTATGCACCATGATATTTAAATGATAGTTTTGAAGAGTTATATTATAAGTAATTTCGAGATAATTCAGTAGAAAGTATTTTCGAATTTCCGTTCGCATAAAATAGCTTCATTTTTTCCGAAGAAGACATAATCAAAGCCTGTTTAATATATATATTATATCACGCGTTGTAATTTTTTTCAGGTATTTCAAGAAATATGCTAGTCTGATCCTTGAATTTCTGCCACAATTGCTCTTCCTTCTATTGCTATTTTTTTACATGACTGTCCTGATGTTTATTAAATGGATTTTGTACGAGGCTTCGGCTGAAGGTAAATATTAATTTATCTTCAAACCTGTAATTTTGCAACATGCCCACATGGCACATATATTTATCGTAATGCGATGCTTTGTGATACAGATCCAGGACGAAGACCAGGTTGTGCACCGTCGGTGTTAATTACATTTATTAACATGATGCTTTTCAAAGATGCCGTTGTGCCCAAAGATTGTTCCCAGTATATGTTCGAAGGACAGGATATTTTGCAGTTGGTTTTACTTTTCTCCGCTCTTTTGTGCATTCCAGTAATGCTCTTCGGGAAACCATTATTTATTCTATTTTCAAAGAGAAGATCTCAAGGAAGGAAGATTTATGTAAGTTGTTTTGCTTTGTGCATAATTACTATCTACTTATTTATAAAATTATTAATAATAATGATTTATTTTATGGTACCCATAATTTTTACCAATAAAAATACGACTCTTCGATTTTTATCTCACGTTGTAAGCATCACTTGTATACATGAAATTAGTAATTTTAGCAACTTTGATGAGCGTCGCAGATGTAATCGCTGACGTAAACTTAGTAAACGACATAAATAATAATAATAATAAATATCTGAAAATGATGGATTATTAGACGAAATGGGAGAACTGTGGCGTTCTGTATTTAATTTCTGTATTTAATCACGATTACGAATGAATTGACGCTGACGTTACACTGTGCGTTGTTACTTGTTCAGAGCAACGGGAGTGCGTCTCAGGACATCGAGTTACAGGCTCAAGAATTGCCTAGCGCAGGCACCAGCAAGGATACTGCGGCGGAAGATCACAGTCACGAGGATGACAGCTTTGGTGAACTGATGATCCATCAAGCCATCCACACCATAGAATACGTGTTGTCTACAGTTTCGCACACTGCCTCTTATCTACGATTGTGGGCCCTGTCTTTGGCTCATTCGCAGCTGTCAGAAGTGCTATGGAGTAGAGTATTGCGAATAGGTTTAGGCGCCGAGGAGGGTCAATACGTCAACAGTATTATCCTGTTCTTCGTGTTCGCTGTCTGGGCCTTCTTCACCGTCGTCATTCTCGTCTTAATGGAAGGCCTCTCGGCATAGTACGTATGTACTAGACTGCTCCAAAAAGTCTGTGCTTTTTTGATAAATAAAGTTTCAAGTGAAGTTAGATCAAGTGAAGTTTCATGGGAAATCCGAAACTTTTTAAGAAGAGACTCAAGGGATATTTTTGAAATAGAAGAAATACAGATGAATTCTAACAATATTTTGTCCAATAGAATTATTTTCAATTAGTTCTCACGTTTTAACTTCGACAAATAAACTAAGTCTGTATTTTTGTATTTTTAATTTCAAATATTCTTATCAATAGTTTTTCTATTGATTTAATTACTGATCATACGTTAAATAAAATCTAGAGAATTAAGACATTTTATGATCATTTTCTACTGTTTTTTATTATTTGCTTAGTATTTTTTATTCTTTAGGGTCGAGTTTATGAGTAAATTCTACGAGGGCTTAGGATACCCCTTCCAACCATTTTACTTCAAGAGTATCTTAGATGCCGAGGATACCGAAGAATAGATGCTGCCACTAGTCTTCACAGCAATAATCATTAGATATATATAATTATTGAATATTATGCGCGAAACTTTCTTTTATTTTAAATATTTTCATAATACGCGAGGCCTTCTCTTGTTGCCTAGAAAAATACAAGAAGGACCAAATTGCCATGGATTGTTTTAAATGAGTCTGACAATGTGCCTTCTTCAATAATTACAACCATCGATTAGGTGTCTATGTTTATTGGCCAAATACGCGCGATAATTACAATAACTGCAATAAGAGTTTTAAGAAACATATGTTTTCCTAAATGTTTTTTTACACGTGGATAACAATATCGGTCAAGAAATCGATGCGTGCTATAAAAGTTTATCTTAGTTATTCATTTTTAAATTATTTTATTTAATTCGCTCCGGATTTAAATAATAAATTTTTAAAAAAAACTTATTTGCGCGAAGCCGGTTCTAAATTTTGTCATTAATAAATTCTCTATTTTTTATTTGCTTGTATATAGTTCTTTTAAATTACTTACAATTTAATACTTTAATATATTTTAAGAAAAGGAAGTGCAACAACGTCTTCGCTTAGCAAAACGAATTCAATTGGTACATCAATTATTTCATGTTAAGATAAGATTCGCGATTAGAGCTAACTCTACTTGTCCAACGTTAAATGATCGTGGTATTATTTCAACGGAAGCAGAATAGGAGTATAAAAAGTACGTGTGATTTAGCAACTATGCTGCTGCTGTCAAGTGAGGATTATATTCATTCCATTAATTACCTAATAACGTGGACATGCCATAGTCGATGTAGTTCGTCATTAAGCACGCCGCGCGTTGTAATATTTCATAATGTCGCGCTTATATATAGTCATTCTCCGCGCAGGAAAGCGGTGATCGAAGCTGTTGTAATTATGGCGCTACGATGAAGAAATTAGAAAATGAAGACATACGATCCGAATCGTGTGCTGCATCGTACGGCCTGATTGATGCTCGACGGACGAGCGGCGAATGTACATTCTTGTATTACTAGAGTACAAATCTTTCTCCGAGTGATTGGTAACCAAGAGATATTCAAACTTGTGCAAAGTTACCATTATGATTGTATCCACTATAGGTATTAATGCTACGTAAAAAAAAAGCGATGTATACATATTCATACGCGAGATATTTCCAAGATCCCGATTTTCATGACGGATTCATCGATAACTCGATTTTCAGCCAAGTTTCCGTTACGAAGGCGTCAAACATTTTCGGTCTATACATATAACAGTGTTTGAAATAAGGATCTTCTCGTGAATCAAATTCATGTGCTGTGATTGATTAATGAAATCTGATGTTCAAATATTCGCATTGGACTTTGTAAAAGTAAAGTCAATTAATTACCGAAAGTCAGTTAATTACCGAAAATTATTCTATCGAATATCAGAACGTTGTGGCAAGAGATGAAAATTTTCCTTAAGAAAGAAAAAAATTTTTTTGAAGAAGAGATTGATCCCTAATTTAACTGAATTTCGTTAAAATTAAGATCAAGACCTCTGAGATAATTTATGTATATGTATCTGTATATAAATATTCAATATATATTTTATCAACGTGTTAAAATAAATTGATGAATATTGCATACGTATCTTCATCAACGTGTTTTTTACCATCCTCTTTTCTATTTTTTATTTAATCTTGAAAGACGTCACATTGATTATTATTAAAAGTTATGTGCGTGCGTTGCGTAACTAGAAAAATCGTTAAAAAATGTTGATTAATTACTTTATATAAGAAAGAAGAATCTGTAAATCTCATTTACGCAAAGCAAACACTATACATATATAAATATCCTTTCTAAGAAAACGTTATGCACGAAGCTATGCCATATTTTCTATTAGTTTATTGTACGTGTATTTTCGTAATTAGTATATACCATTCATGAATTATAATAGACTAGACTTATTTTACATCGTAAATTTATGTATGTTAAAGTGACTCAGTTGAAAATATCGTTGAATTAACCTTCTAAATTCTGTGAATTTTTAACAATTTATACGATTATTTTTTAAACATGGAAATAATTATCTTCAATTTTCTTTTTTGTAATTATGAACGTAGCACTTGTTAAAAATGTATGTAATTTATTTATAGTCTTTTTATCTTCGTAAAGAATATAATTTTATGATAAAAATTTTTCAGAGATGTTGCGTCAGTTGCGTGAAACGGGAAGATTTTCTGTTGATAAATTAAATACGATAATTATTGTTTGATTAAACATTAATTATCATATTTAGAAGAATTGTGCAGAAATGTGCGATTGGACTTACATCTTTTATCTACTAGTAGTTCTTTAGTAGTTCTTACAAAGAAACAAAGAAATTACTTTCAATTAGAAAAAAATAAGATGATCTTAAGGTGTTTTAAAACTTTTTCCAATAAAAAAAGTTATTTAATCAACTTTTCCTGGTCTTCATTTAATCGCTATCTCAGACATCCTGTCTTCGCACAAAAACAAATAAAAATTCGTATGCTTTTTCTAATTAAAACGATTTGAATATACGACGTGATGTTGTATCCCCCCGCTGCTTGTAAACAAGTCATCGAGAATTCGCAATTAGAACACGTCCAACTGTTTTACGGTCCGAAGATGGTATCAATTTAATTAAAGTCTAGCGGCGATATTAAATCGTGACCACCTCCTTATGAGAGAATTTATCATGATATGCGAGATAATGTGTGAATATCAAATACATTTAATACGGTGTAGGCTGAGAAATAATTAAATAAAAAAAAACAAATTTTTTGTTTTATTAATCGGATATATTATAATTTACTGATGTAATAATAATTGAACGTTGTTAAGATTTAATATTGCATTAATAGTGAACGTAATTTGTTCAGTTTAATACTTGGTTGTAAACCAAGATGGCTATCAGTTTTGATCTGATAATCTTTTTGTGATCAATCAGTCTTTGATTTTGAAGATATATATAAACGTTTCTTGTAAAATTTATGCAAAATATAAATTAAGGTATCAACGAAATCCGCTTTGTGAATATTAAATCGATCACGGACTTGCTTTTCAATCGACGCGAGGCAAGAGCTCTGTCACAATTGTTGAGAAGAGAGATATGAAAGCGCAGTAAAAAAAGTTCCTATTCATTCAGTTGAAATGACAGCGCTTTCACCGAACTTTGCCTTTTAAAATTAAAACTTAAATTAATATACTTGTCTTTAGTGTCTTAAAAAAAATTAATAAATTAGAAAAAATATTTATTGTTTCATAGTTTTTCAAAGCTATATTTAATTTCGTAGCAATTCTGAATTTATTAAACATATAACAATTGATCTGAATTTATTAAACATATAACAATTGATCTTAACGATTATAAGTTTAGATAACATCATCATAATTTAAAACTAAATTAAGTTTAATGTATAATAATATATGATAATGTGTGTGAGATTCCTCATTTTTATTATTTAAAGCATTTTACGAAAATTCCAAAGAAATGTTATTTTCAAACTATTCAGCGAAACTATTTCTGAAATTATAGGATTGAATACTGTAAATCACATTATGCAGAAGTCAATCTCTCGACACAGAGTAATCGCGAAGAAAATCGAAGGACTTCATTAACTTGCACTAAGCTTGCTTCGAAGTTATTCGATCATTATTGATTGCAGGGAACTCGCCCGTCTCGGATTTTGCGATCTTCTATTTGGACGTAAACCCGGAGGACAACAGCACTTCCGAGGGATCCAATCCTACGGGAGATCGAATTTGCGGCAGCGTGTTTGACAGAGTTGCGCGCGCTGGTGCAACGTTTTCTGCGATTTAATGGGTGAGAACAGAGCGAGAGTTCAGTAGGCGACGCGCGCTCCCTGTCACCGTGTGTTCCCGTATACATCCCGGCCTCCAGTATTCCTCGCGCATGGACCCCGTACACGCTCGATAACGCAGGTGAGTGTGCGATCATCAGGGTCGGATTTACATATATAAATTGAAGCTTTACAGCTCACAGTTGCGAGGAGTCGCTTCATTTTCCTGAGGGACATGTCCTACTTTCTAAAATATTCGCGCACATTCATCTGAAATGCGTCCTCCCAGATTCCTCCTAAATGTGTATCTAGATGAGCGAATAGATGAATAAAAAGTTACATATATTTCTCTCCGTTCTTCTAGATTTCTTTTAATGTGGTTGTATCGCAAACATTACTTAAAAATGACTTTTCTTAAGATTTGTTTGAAACTTTTACTATTTAAAGATAATGATATTCTCTATACATACACATAATTTTTAGAGGGAGTAACCGGGCAAATATTAATTATAAAGTTTTAGAAAGATTGAAATCTTTCTAAGGCTTTATAATTAATATTTGTCTGGTTATCTCCCATTTTCTTCGGTTTAAGTGATTCATATTATATTTATCTATAATTTCTTAGATTTTGAGCTTTTTGAGAATTTTTAAAATACCGTTTTTGCGCTATAATTGAAAATGTACTGTCGCTTCTTGTCTAGCACAGGGAACGTATAATGTTAAAAGTACTAAC